AACCCTGTTCGATCAATCATCAGAAGTGTAATCTTTGAATTTCATTAGTTGGCTAGGAGAGAGCAGTAACAGTTGATCAGAAGGTATTCAACTACCTTAGGCATTAAGCGAATTTTGCGTGGAATTGTCGGTTTGAAAATAAAAGCCATATTAAAATCTTTTTTAATGAATATTTATTATTACATAAACAAATTCTAAGATAAACTAATATACAAGGTGGTCCACGCAACTTGGTCACCCTAACTAACTTCTAAAGTATGCATTGTATGAAAAAACTTTTTATAGAAAAGTTGTGTGGTTTGGAGGGATACATTATGCAATGCATACACTTTTTTTGTAAGTGGAGGCGTTTCGGAGATTTGAAGGTCAATATCGTTTCTGTTAATGGAATGTTGTATTTTTTATGCCAAAATATCGAAGAGCATTAAATTTTGAGTAAAAAAGTATCTACATTTATTAGTCGTAAACCTGATAATTAAGGAATAATTTCGCTTTATTTCTTGAAAATGGTCTGTGCGTAATATTAAGTTGGAGATTCAATACCAGCAAAGATTTCCGTAAGGCTTCTTCCATTCACTAACGTAGATGTTCGAAATGGTGTCCATTCACATTAATACACTGATGTAATGTATTAATCAACGAGGAAACTGCACTCTGAATTGTTTCTGCAGCAAGCATACATAGCACACATGCAGCAAACATAGTGTCGTTGTTGGTTCACGATACACCATACCTTTTAATGTACCCCATAGAATGTAATCTAGCGGCGTTAGATCTGGTGAACGTAGTGGCCACAGAAATTCTCCGTCACGATCGATCCATCGGTTGAGGAATTGTCTGTCCAGCACTTGCCTTCCTACATATGCATAATGTGTGGGGAAACCATCATGTTGGTACCAGATGTCTGTGCGCATATTTAATGGTACATAAATTTAAATTTTTTTGTCCCGTTAATCGTTCATTAATAAAATATTTGCTTCAATTAATTGATTGTCGAGTGTGCCACACCACACATTAACGCCCCATTGACGTTGATGGTCAACTTCTCTCATCCAGTGAGAATTTTCTGATGCCCGGTAGTGCATGTTCTTCAAATTAATTTGCCCGCGATTAGTAAATGTTGCTTCGTAGATAAATAACACTTTTTGTAAAAAAAGATCATCATTGTGCATTTCATGCAAGAACCGCTGGCCAAATTGAACGCGGTTTTCATAATCCGATCCGTACAATTCCTGATGAAGTACTAGCCCAAATAGCACAAAATGCACGTCCTATGTACATCCGATGGACGTACGTTCCGGACGTTCTGTACATTCGGAGGATGTCCTAAAAAGGTCCATATGTCCCAGTTAGGTCCCCGTTAAGATCTTTAAATGTCCTAGGAAACTCCTATTTACAAAGTGGAACGTTATAAGGACGTCGTGTGTCAACATTCTCAGAACGTTTCCCGAATGTGTAAAAGTAACATTCCCTATACGTTTTGTCGTAATGTCTTAAAAGACGTATAGGAAACATTTCCCAAATGTTAGGTTAGGTTGGTTTGTGTTTAACAAATAAAAGATTAACTTTCCTGCGATTTCCGCACATAGTAGAAATTAAATCTAGTTAGTTCCTGTTAATGAATAAAAGGTTAAATTTCCTGTAAGGAATTATAATGAAAATATAGGTCTGGGAATTATGATCTCGAAGTACATTGGTGTTTATTTCTACTTTCACAGCAAAACTCTGATTCTGTGTTAGTTAGACAGTTTAAGAGAAAACATGTTTTTTCAACTTTCTTGGGATTTTCGCACAAAACCACTAGTGTCGTTACACTTTTCTATTGATTCTTTAAAGACTGACACCTTGTTCATGGGGTTCCATCACCTTGTACAGAATGGCATTGGCAAAAATACTAAACGGAACCATCCAAAACTTAAGTAGTGAGAACATCTGTAGGACTTTTGGGACGGACGTTTCTAAAACATGCGTAATTTAAGTCTTGAGAACATCCGTAGGACTTTTGGGACGGACGTTTCTAGAACATCCGACATTTAAGTCTTAGGAACGTCCTAGGGATGTCCAAAATGGACATAGTACATTCGGATATAAACTGGACATGAAACGGACGTCCTTAGGATGTACGGTGCTATCTGGGAGGTGATATGGATGATATTTTTCATTATGAAGAATTCGAAGCACGCTTGTTTTCCTAATACCAGAACCTCGTGGAATTTGTCGCGTACCGATAGGAGGATTTTCTGTTACCGCTGCTAGGACCGCAATAGTATTTTCTTCAGAAGTAAGAGTTTTGGTTACGTTCCGTTTGGTAACGTTAAAACTTCCGCTTTTTCGAAGCAATGTACAAAGTCTCTCGAATATCAATCGACATGGTTGATTTCGTTCAGGATAAATTTCGGCATACATAGCTATTGTTGCATTTCTACGGCACTCACCATAAACTAAAAGCATATCCACTTTTTCACAATTACTAAATTTCATTTTTGCTTTTAGTTTACCGAGGATAGTCACGTATAATAACTGATGATAACTCCAATACTGAATCGCGGAGAGAATAGGCGATTGTGATTCCATACGCAGAACTGGTCATGTTGATAAACATTGTCACGTAAACTCCGCGGTCTTACGGAAATCTTTGTTAGTATTGAATTTCCAACTTGATATTACGCACAGACCATTCATTAGGTTTACGGCTAATAAAGGTCAGTACTTTATTATTCAAAATTTAACGCTCTTCGATATTTTGACATAACAAATATAGTATTCCGTTTAAAAAAACGAAGCTGGTCTTCAAATCTCCGAAACACCCCCAGTTACAAAAAAAATATATGCATTATATAATTCCTATAAAACTTTTATATAAACATTATATAACTTTTCTATAAAAACTTGTTTAATACAATGCATACTTTAGAAGTTATTCAGGGTGAACAAGTTGCGTGAACCACCCTGTATGTTCCTTGAAAGTAGGTTTTGAAATAGTTTTTTATTTGGAAAACCACAGTTCCACGCAAAATTCCTTTGATGCTTAAGGTGGACGAATACTTTTGTGACCAACTGAATGTCACTCTTACTGTTCGGAGTGAGGCTGTGAATTGTGGTAGCCTTTTTATTTTTTATGAAAATAATGTTTTCGAGCTGTGTCACTTTTGTAGCAAGGCTGCAATATATGAACGAACATATGTATATCATCATACGAGAAGTTGCACATAGTTAATTGTGTTAAATGGAGATTTCGAATTTAAATACTGATAACTTACCATCAATGTTACAGATACGTCCTTCGGCTCCTTGACGATAGCACTCATTGACTATTGTCCTGGTTGAGTTAGGGTTGACTCGACAACAACGCGATGCTCTTATCTAACAGCCAGATTTCTCCTCGACAGTCTCTGCGTTTTCCAGACTTGAGACAGTATCGTGTATTTCCACTCTTATATACATACATATGTAAATGTAACTGTATACCTATCTGCTGAATGAATATGCTTATGAATTTCATATTCGACGATTTATCGCGTTCAATTGTACGTAAAGATCAATGTCTTAAACTATGGAAACGTAAGGCATGTCTTTCGTCTCCTTATTTTGTTCACTGGTTAATTTTTCAACTATGAATCTAAGAAATGTTTATTTTTGAACTATCTAAAAAATATCGGCGGAATTAAAGGCAAATACAAATAATTTGAAACGAATTTTTCTGCAATGCGTGTAAATACGATGTAATTTGTATTACGGCAGATATTATTATAAAATGAAATTTATGTACTTTCAGGTAAAAATGCAGAAATAAGTAATTAAGATAAGCTTCTTAAATGCTAAATATGCTGGGTATATTAAGTAAGCTGAAGCAGACAAATTTTTAAAAGGAAAAGTAGATATACTTAAGAAAAGAAAATGAAAAGTTGGTATTTAAAACACTCATTGTTAACAGCATTTAATTTCGAAATAGGATATGTTGTCGTATACAGGGTGTTTCCCAAATGGCGGTACAACCTACAAACATGTGACTCTCTACATGCAAAAATAAGTCGAAAATGTTGAATAACATTTATTCGTACGATGATTCATTTCCAAGATAATCAACTTTCAATATTCATCTAACGCGTATGTATTCATTCATCATAATGATAATAAGTAGAAATAGAATGCAATGAACAGACGCGTTAGCCAAGACCTATTCATTTGCACACGCATCCAACCGACTTTTAAATTCGATTTTCTCGAAAATGAAATATTGCACGAAAAATGTTATTCTACATTTTCGACTTATTTTTGCATGTATGTAGAATTACATCCTTTATGGTTGTACCACCATTTCGGAGACACTCTGTATTTATATTTTCTTGTATAGACAATCTAATTTACCAAAATTAGAAATATAATTATAATGTAATATTTTCTTAAAAAGTTACTTATCTTCAAACATTTATATAAATTATCCAATCACTTATTGTTATTAAACATTTGTATCAACGATTGAATCACTTAATTCTTGTTTAAGCAAGAAATGTGATTGAATAATGAAATAAGTCGTGTTGAGTTTATTTCTAAAATCGATAATTAAATTCTCTGTATCTCGTGTATATGTAAGTGAACGCTTAGTCTATATTTAACAGTGATTATTACAGGGATGCTTTAACGTTATACTAAAATTCATGTCAATACTTTTCGATTATTCTTTCCACAGATTTTAAACAACGTAAACACGTTCTTATTTTGATCAAATAAGTCAAAATTAATTAATTGGGGGTTCTGTTGAGACAGTACAGGATTGTCAATTAATGCTACCGTGTATCGTGACGTACAGTTTTTATTCGACGTTATTCTCAATATGTACATTCATCAAGGTCCATAATAATTATATTAATCGTTATGCAATAATTACAATAAAAGTGTAACCCGCGTGTGTGGTTACAGGTCAACGATATTAAGGTATAACAGGTTGATTAGGTTTCTCCTCTCTATCATTTTCACCGTGTTGCGTTACATGGTCGCGAAGAACGCCTTCCTGCGTCCCTGGCTGTATCTCTAATTTACGTTACTTGATTTGGGGAACGGGGCTAGTCCGCGTGATACGGATGGGGCTGCGGCGATTCGCCCTCGAACAGGGCCATTTTCAAGCGTTTGCACTTGGCACGTCGATTCTTGAACCAGAATTGCACGTTCTTCGGCTCCAGCCGAGGAAATTTCTGCCGATACGGCATCCGATTCAGCTCCTCTGTGTATTTCAGAATTAGCTGTGAATCAAGCAAACGATCATCTTCTAAGTGAAATTTATCTGACGTGAATAACGACGGAATCATGTTAGACTTACTGATAAATTTGTCAATATTCGATGTACCAATAAGTATTCCATTATTTTGTTCTAAATAACGGGACCCTAGTTTATGCCGGTCAACTGGGTAACTTTTGCGACTTGAATACTCACGCAGACGCGATCGAAGACGAGTGGAAACTACTTGATGCATCTGGACTCATAAGAAAAGTGAATAAGGTTTTATTTATACTGATACAAGCTCGTAAGAAAAATCATCTCAAGAAAACTTTACTTTATTACTATTAAATGTGTTAACAAATAATCTCCTTTAATACAGTAATGCAGGGTGAGGTACCTAAAACAGACCACCTGAATATATTGGCTGTTACTGATGATAAAACAAAATGTGTCAAACCAAACTTGCATGGTATTGAGAAACATACAATTAGATGTAAATAGTTTTTTGATAGGTGGACGCGTAGAGGTCATATGAAGGTCAACTTCGTTTTTTTTTAAATGGAAAGACATGTTTTACGTACTATCTAGTAGGGCGTTTTAAGACGCGTACAATGGATTATTTATGAAGGTACGTAAACAAACATGTCTTTCCATTTAAATAAACTATTCAAAAAACTATTCACGTCAAATTATGTGCTCCTCGACACCATGCAAATTTCGATACCAGTCTAGACAATCGAGTGGCTTGTTTTAGGTGTCTCACCCTATATGTATAGTTCGGATTTAAAATATCTTTCTGGCCTGTTACTTCATAAAAACCGCGTATCGTATTGCAAAATAAGGTTCAGTATTATTGAGGCGAGTCGGTAACAAAGATTGAACATCGAAAAAATGGTGGATTATTCGTAGATATACCAAATACATAATTTTAGATTGTGGTTCTCATTAGAAATATATGACGACTGTTAAAGATTAATTTATCATGGCTATATTTCTATTATCTAATGTTCTATGCACAGTAAAACCAAGAGATCAAGAAGTGATTTTATGACTAAAAGGAATATACATATAAATAGGATCTGCATCGATCCAGATGTCCCTGATAATTAGTTTTCAAAGATACATCAAGATGACACAATTTTATGCATAATTAAACTTCATGGTTGACAGATATATGAAGGAGTCTCAGTAAAATAAATCTAAATGAAAAGACAAAAACAAATACATATTTATGTTTTTACGAAAGAAATAAAAAGAAACTAAATATTTGAAAGTAATAGCAAATAGCCAATATATGTCAAGTTTATTACAATTTCAAGCTGATGTAACAATATTTCAATTCGAGGAGTATGATAATAATTGCGCTCATTCGGTAATGACGAACGCAAAAATTTTTTGTTTACAATACAAAAGATAGATTTATACACATAATTAAGACATACGAACAATACAATTGTACATCGTAAAAGATGTTTAAAATTTTAAACGATTTAATAATTGTAATAAGCAATATAGGAATTACGTGTTGGAAATGGAAATAAATTTTGGCTAGAATACATTAAATTCAAAGCATAAATCGATAAATGCTATTGTTGTATTAGGAGTATAAATAAGTAATCGGTTATTTTTGCGAAATTCAATACCTATTTTTAAGAGAATCGAAAGATTGTGGTAGGTATTTCTATATTACACATCCTCGTTCTTCAATATCTTTTGCCATTTACAAAAACGGTTTGAAAGATGCTTTAAATTTAAACTGTTTCAGCAGTTTATTAAAACAAATAATACGTTACTTATTGGTTCATATAATATTAATCGAATAATATTATTCGAAAACCTTTTTTTTTAAAGTGTTGTGTGTTTCCATTAATTTGAAAATTCAAGTTACTACTGCACATTTTCTTTTTTTCTAAGTAAGATGAGAAAATGCGTATAGTATTTTTTATTAATTACATATAGGGAAAAGGTATCCGTTCTTCTATATCCTACAGTGTTTTCATTGTTCGATTGTCCATTACGGGAATAACTGAAAACATTGATTAATACAGAAGCCGTTGCTTGAATTTCACTTCAGAATATTTTTTTCCGTGAATGGTAAAATACGATTGCAGCTGATAAAAATGAAATTTTTATTTGTGGGGTAACACTGCGATGAAAATTATGTCAAATTGCAATCGGAAAGTACGAGAGTACAGAGACTCAATAATCAAACGAGAAAATGTTCCCTTGTAACTGAAGATAATAAATAATTAACAAAGAATCTTTTATTATACTTATAGATTGAACTTCGTTAATCTGGAATTAGACAGATTAATGATTTAAATTTAATCTAAACGTAGACTTTATTTAATCTACAGGAATTTTAACACAGAAATTTGGATACAGTTGAACTACATAAACATATACTAGTTATAATTTACCCTTGTAATTGTTATTAAAATCTTTAATGTACCTATGTTAATCTCTATATATGCGTCTGTAATATAAATAACCATGTAAGTAAAATAATTACAAGTTTTGTAACGGATAAAGAACGGTAAAATTAGATTTGAATAACAAATTATGAATAAAAACAGTGTATCAGAATTTATAACTATCCATGTAACTTTCTATTTTTTCCTACGACGATATAAACTCAATATATTTTCAATATACTAGGTCTGTCCCCAAAATAAATAAACTTAAACGCAGTCAACTTTTAGGAAAAATATTTTATTTCATTCAAAATACATTGTTCCTGCGGCGATACAGCGATTGGCACAGTCAAGCAATGTATCAAATGACTGTTCTATGTCCTTTTGTGGAATGTCTTTAAGAATCCTCGTCAAGGCATTTTGAATGTCTGGAATTCCATTATAACGCTTTCGTTTCATGCTTATTTGAAGCCGCGGAAACAAAAAGTAATCCAGTAACCAAATAGAAACCAGTAACAATCAATTTAAGGAAGTTTCGATCCTTACAGGTGGCTTTAATGATGTCTTTACAATGATCAATTCCATTCAATTTTTGGTCACCAGTGAATGTGTGACGAACGAACCTCGCGAAATTTGTAATGCTTGGTCGAAATGCGATAAATCGTGTCTTTTGATAATCCCGACTCACTTTTCAATAATCATACAGAAGATTTTGGCTGAATTCTGATTGCTTCACGCACCTTTCGGACGTTGCCTTCGGTGTTTCCTGTTCCCGGACAACCTGGCCGATCGTCGTCGTTAATATCTTCTTGACACGCCGCAAATCAGTCGTAAACTTTCGTACGAGATAAACAATTATCGCTATACACTTTTTGCATTGATTAATGCGTTTCGGTAAACGTTTCACCAAGTTTAAAACCGAATTTTATGTTGGTTCTTTGGCAACTCAGCTTCTAATGGTCCAAATACCAGAAAACTTTGACACAATATCACTCAAGGATGTACACTACCGTTCAAAAATTTATAAGTAGTCTCACTTTTTAGTTAAAGAAATCATCGTTTGTTAATGTGTTTAATGACCAATTCGCAGGAAAAAATCGTTTTCCTAATCACATTCCTCAAAAACTCTTTATTTTGTCACATTTTGTTTTGTATGTGTGCCACACAATTCTGGTAGTATTTTAAAGCAGAATGGACAAAATTTGGATAAAGAATATTTTAAGAAATTAATAAATCGAATGCCCAGAATTTGATTGAAATGCATTTAAAATAAAGGGGGTTATTTTAATGAGGCAAAAATTTGATAAGAATAAGTGGTTATGTAACTTTTAAGTTGGTTTTGTCATCTATAATAAATATATGAGCCTTAATTCAACGTCTATCTACGATCTACCAAGATGTCAACAAAAATAAAATGGCCGCATTGGCATGAGTTTTAACAAAGGCATGCGAAGAAAGAGGAAATTTTCCGCATATTATCGTGAATAACAAAAGAACAGAAGCTTCAAAATTTTTAACAGTATGCCACAAGAATTTAAAAAATCGCTTAATAACTTTTTGCGTTATGATGTTTGTATGGTGTAATTTCGGATCGCCAAGATTAGCGCCATCTATAATGCAGGAATATTAGAACAAAAATAGTTTTCATTTACTTGAATGTATAATAAATAAAGGCCAGGAAGTTTCTTTACCGTATCCTGCTTACTTTCTTCAAAAAAATTCCTAAATACCACGTTCTTAAAGGAAAAGAGGACCTTGACTGCTTTCAAACTTTCGCACGGTAGTGCATTTCTCGCCGACAAAATTTCCATATATGGTAGATGCCGCTACTAGTTTATTTCTATTTTTAAAAACTTCTGGTATTTTTGGGACAGACCGTGTACACATAAAATTTTCCCTTTCAGCAATACCCAAACGATTTGTCTTCGGACATAGCAAACGATACCATTTCTCGAGCTCGTTCGAACACGTACTACAAATTGCTCGCGTTCATTCCGTGCCGATATTAATACAAAGTTACCGGAAAATGATACCGATAATTAAACTCCGCCGCAATTAAAAAACTTACCGCGTGACTGGGATGAGTATTGTGGGTGAACCAAGCCTCGAGCCTCGGCACTTCCGTCACGGGATCGATGAATGTCCGGTTCCTCTTCCTCCTCTCGTCTAGCATGCTGGTTGAACAGCCAGCGGGGCCGCGTGGCGGCAAATAAGGTGACATATACATAATTCCGTGGCCGAACATCGGACTCGGTACCAGAGAGAATCCAGGCGGCAACGGGCCAGTCGGCCTTGCCTCCTCGTCCTCGGAACCGGAGGAGACTCTGGCGTCCTCCTGCTTCACGGACGAGGGCGTTGAGGGTGGAGGTTGCTGATCCTCTGGTCTAGTTGTCAGGGATAGTGGACCGACCGGCGGACTTCCGGGCGGACAGGGAGATGGCGAGGCGGACTGAAACACAGGAATCGAGCGAAATCTTTTGGTAAAAATATTGTTGAAGTAATGTAGACGAATTGAAACCAGAGATGGGCAAATTCATTATCTAAATAGAAAGGTTGGTAATGATACAGAATAAGAGAGCTACTTCAGATTTCAGAAATATGTTGTCAAGGAACAACTTGTTCCTATACATATAATAGTCGGTTGCTTTCAGTTTTCGAGATATTCGCAAAAATATGTTTACCACTATCTATATCGAATGTTGAATATTTAAAATTTCCTCTTAAATGAAGGGTGAATATTTCAGTATTTGTGTATTATGAGCATACATGTATATTATGAAGTAAAAGCATGGGCGTTTACTCAAAGACACATAATTTTCCAGACACCCAACATCCCGCTATACACCACCCAGTGTTAACCACGCACCCAACATCCCACCAAACACAAGTTTAGTTGTTCATTAGTATCTAAAAAGAAACAGTGTGTTTGGTGGGATATTGGATGCGTGGTTAACACTGAGTAGTGTGTGGTAGGATGTTGGATGCCCGGGAAATTATGTATATTTAAGTAAATACCACGCTACAAGAATCACATGTCACATTTATTGGAACATAAGAATATATATATATAATACTCTATTAAACGCAAATATTGTCGAAGAATTATATCGCTTTAAACTAACTTGTTTTGCAATGCTTTAAATATCACGAAAACTGAAAGACACCGACTATTATATGTATAAGAAGGAGTTCTTCAGAATAATGACCTTGATAACATATTTCAAGGTCATTGAAATCGGAGGTGACTCCCTTATTCTGTATAATTACCAAAAGTTCCGAATAATGAATGTAAGACAGGAAACAGTATTTCTATAATAAAATACTGTTTTTTCCCGAACGAACAGTGGCAATTGGCAAAAAATTGTTTAATCTCGTGAACTGTTTAACTCTTAAGTAATCGCATTCCGAAAATCACACAAATGGTCGCATGGGGTCCAGAATATCCCAATTTAGTATTACATTTTTGTTTACTTTCTTTTAAAGATAATGAAATAAAACTGTGGCCATTAATTAAGTACTTTGTTATTACTGAAATTCATAAGAAAACAACTTGACATAAAATTTAAATGTAAAAAGTAATGAAACAAAAATCCTTTAAAGTAGTATTTTCGCATACATATGACGAGATCAATTGTTAAAAAAATGGTTGAAAACTTCTTTGCAGTATGTAAATAGTGAAATGATTTTCACAAACAAATTCTTTACATTTGTTACATTTAGTCATTACCTATTTGACATCTCTTCTAGGACAGAACTTTAGGTCAAAACTCGTAACCCAAGAAAGCAACGACGCACGCGCACGAGCTAACGTTCCGGTAATGACTGAAGTGTGAAGTTTTACACGTATTAGCGACTAATTGATGATTAAAGGTCAGGATGGCGATTTTAGATACTGCTCCTTTTCACCATATATTATTCAATTGAAATTGGTCCCATCTCTGATTCAACCTTAGAAGTGGCACCGAAATTTTAATAAGAATATACAGTCTGAACTAATAATTTTCGCCACCTAGAGTATCTCGAATATTTTTAAAAATGTGAAGAAACTTTATTTAATTCTTTACAGTTGCATGTTAGGTTTACGGGGGTTTCAAGGTCACCTCTATTTTTTTAACCTCTATTTTTATATAAGTAAAGAGAAAATAAATATAAGTGTCTTTAAATTCTACGGACTAATTCGGGAAATATTTTATTTTAAACGAGACAACACGGTGAAAATGTTTAAGATAGGTTTATATTTTAAAAATATTATAGTAAGACTTTCTTTCCACTGTTTCTGTAAACTATATGAAAATACTAAATATATTTAATTTGTGATATTTTGTCGTTTTAAATAGTATATCGGAGGGTCCAAATTAACGAGTCATTTAACAGTAGTAAACATTTATTTTCTATGAATTTATGAAATAAACTTTTTACTTACAGAATCGACAACTTTTCGGATCATTTGCTTTTCTTTATGAAGAAATATAAATATTTGCGCGCCGTTATCGATGAAAATAAACTTTCCAATTGTTTTCAGTTGCCTTAGCTGACAGCGATTGCGTACTCGCGGTTTTACTCACAAGCAGACCATTTAACTCGTTCCGTGAAGATACGTAGTCAGTTGCTATTCCAAATTTGATATTATTTTAAAGAAACCATCAACGAAAACATAGACAAAGATGATAGTGGATGCATCCAATAAATAGTACATCTTTCTAGATAAACCAGTTTTGTGCACTATGCAGATATTGTTTACTATTTTTACTGTTTGTTGAAAGCTATTTTCCATTGTAATATCGTTCCTTAGAAGATCCCTCGTAACATTTTTTATTATCCGTAATATTTCTTTAGTTCTAACATTTTATTCATCATTATGAGGGTGTAGTAGCGAATCATTTTAGCTGCTTTAGTAGAATTTAACGACACTTACATTTATTTTCTCTGTACTTAAATTTAATACAAGATCCTTGATTATTGGAAGAATTTAAGCTACCTCAGAGAAGAACAGACTTGCTCACATTTTTATTTTAATAATACATAGTGTAAAAAAGTATAGTAAATCCTCGATAAGTATTCGAAGGCTCCTCGGAACTGACCAGGAGAGGTCCTCAGGTATAACACTGACTTTTTAATGAGGTTTAGCACAGCGAGAGACTTTGGAATTTTGAGGCCAATGATATTTGTTTCAGCTGCATATAGCGATTAGTTTATGAAATATTTCAGTGAAAAGTTCAGTGCCGAGGAATCGTCAAACACTCATCGAGGATTTAATGTACTATCTCAGAGCACCATCCAGACCTTTAACCAGTTAACGAGATTAAATAATTGTTTGCCAAGTGTCTCCTAATTCAAGAAGATGTATCATTTCAATAAAAAAATTGAAGTTTTCACGCTTGACCCTTAAGTGCAGATGACTCATCTCAGAGATGAATAAACCGTTGACTACCTTGTAATACTTTTAATAAATAACTGAATGTTATTTTCTGTTATAGTTTTGGAAATAGTGTGCCACTTATAGTCACTACCCAATTCAATATATGTATATTGAAAGAAAAATGTAAATTCGTATCTGAGATGAGTGGTCTTAATTTAATGAATTAGAAACGGCGATGTACTTTTTCGTCTTTTATTCTCTATTCGAAATTCTTTATCGAGATTAACCCTTTACGGTCTACGTTCGTAATATAACCTCTGACGAAAATATAACATTCTCTTTTGTACTATTTATACACTGCGTGGCATAACTATAAAACTACCCTAAACTTTTCAATTCTAATGCATTGTGGTTAAAATAAAAAACGAAACAAATATGCCATGTCTGAAATCGTGTTGGGAAATAATATCTCTCTAGTAAAGGATACATTATATTCCCTAGAAAAAAGTTCGTTTTTATTTTAACCAGAATACATAAGCATTGAAAAATTTAGGGTGGTCTTATAGTTATGCCACACGGTGTGTATCTTCTTAGGTATTGGTAAATAGTAAAAAACAAAAAAGAAATTTTTACTAAAAAATAGTTTTTGTTAAGATTTTATAAATATTTACGTAATAAAATAATGATATAAGAAAAGGTGTTCTATTTTGATACGTTCTTTTTAAATTTACTGAGCTCTTACGGGGTTTTTGAATTTACCTATCTTTCCAAGAGAGAGAACGAAGGAAAATGAAAATGCAATTAGAAAAAGGAACATGTTCATTGACCAATGTTATACCTGATGTCTCGAGTCTTCTTCCTCGTCCGAGCAATCTTCGCTGACAATACTGGCGCCTCTCGGACTAAGCCCAGGTGGACTGTAACCATTGACAGCTCTGTTCTCGGTCCTTTTCTGTGCGGCTCGTGCGTTCTTGAACCAGTAGACAACATTATTCACGTCCAGCGGCTTCCTGCCCCGTCGAGACTCCAAAGAATTTAATTCCGAGACGTAATGTTGTATTTGTTGTCGCGACGGGTGTTGATTCTCGCCGAACCACCGTTGAAGACGCGGCAGCTCCAATTCTGGGTCAAAGCTCGTTCTCATCCTGGTTTTATGGGAATATTGAAGGAGCGCAGGATGCGGAGGACCGATCGCGCCGCCCGAAGAGCCGATGCTAGCGCCACCGTCCGGCTGGGGGCTCTGCGTGTGATGGTGGTGATGGTGGTTCGTGGGTGGTACGATCGGGTTTAGACCCAAGCCCAACTGTTGCTGCTGCAACCACGACTCGAAGTTTCGCTTGGTCTCCTCGGATAATTCGTTTCCGCCCCTGCATAGAGACAGTAATGTCATCTGGAAAACAAAAGTGATACGTTGATTTTAACCGTTTCCAGGCGGATTTTTCTTTTTAACGATCAACTCAATGATATAGTAGTGGGTTGTGCCAAAAAGTAATCTCGCATCTACGTATTTACTCAAAACAGTGGGCCTTAATTAATAAACCATATACGTACTCCAAAAGTTGACACTTCTACGCGTCTTTTAAAAAGAAAGTTTTTACGTATGCTTTAAATTGTCTTGAATGGACCTTGTTTGGAAAGTTAGCGACTAAAAGGTGTACTTCCGAGCAGTTATGCTTTTTTAAAATTCTATTTGTTTACAGAACCGTCAACATGCACAGGAAATCATTTTTTGTTGTTTGTACCGCGTTTTTCGCTTTTCGGAAATGAAAAAGCACAATTACCTTCTCGTCGCTCATTTTCAAAGTACGGTCAATTCAAGAAAATTTAATGCAATCGTGATGGACTTTTCTTCAAACGACGTGTTGAAGTGCCAACTTTTAGTATACATTTTATTAGTTAAAAGCAGTGTTTTGTATGGAAACATAAAAAAGCAACATCTACAGCAAAAACAAGGGATTACTTCTTGACCAACCCAAGAGTACGGGCTCCGTTTGAGGCAATTATTTAGGGAGTTTAGGAAGTCATCGTGTTCTGTTGGAGTTGCTGCGATAGGTGGTACCGACGATTTTTGTACAAATCACGCTAATATCAAATTCAATAGAAAACAACAAATAATAATTAATAGACGAATAATTCGGCACACAAACATCAGGCATAACTACATCCTACATAAAACAGCATAATACACTGTGAATCCTGTAAACAAAGATTAACCATTAAATACATTCTGTCGGATTTTAAGAGCACAGAAAACATCAAGTACCGATTAATATCAATCCTTTTGATGTGACAATACGCGTGTGCGCGAAATATACTATTGTTTATGGCACTATTACTATTCATGAAATGTGTATACACGTCTATAGTACTCGTAGCGGCAAATTCATGGAATGTCTATACCTCATAGCATCGAAAGGGTTAAAGAAATTTTTAAAACGGAAGAGAACCTCACGAAAACAACCAATCTTAACCGTAGAATGTACTTTATTGTGAAATATAGAACAACCATCGACTATGGTTGCTAATAACTACAAAGTTGATGCGGCCCTAAATTCACAAAAAAAAATAGTACGAACTATAAAACATTCAGATATGAAGAAAACAATAGGTTAAGCATAGCTTTGAAAGTGGGACATATATGCCCCAATAGGTATGTCTGGTTACAAAAAAAATTGTAACATCGGGGAAATAAGTTTATCCATTCATTAATATATCTTACAAAATGGTTAACAAAATACTTAATATGGTTCATAGAATAAGCTAATTGATTATAATATTACGAATGGTAAGGTGTAAAAGAATTAATACAGAGTCGAACTTTACTAGTCCATTTTTCTATCTTGGCTGCTGAACATCTAATACATTTTTTTTCTTTATAAAGATTATTTATGAAGATAAATAATTCAATTTGGAGGAATAAACTATAACCTAATAAAATAAAACCTAACCCAGACCTGCAAATATTGTGAAAGATACCTTGGGACGTATTGTCTCGTCAATCTCGAATCTTAAATTTATGACTTTGTAGTGAAAAGTAAGTCTCTTCCTTTGAGGTCTTTTAGATATCGATGCGGAAGTATGAAGGCATTTGAATGCTAATTACTGACGTTAGAGGTTCTTGCAATAGCTTTTTTGTTTGTTTCCATCTCAAAATAAGAACTTGATCGATTGGTAAAAAGCTATGGTCCGATGTTTTATATGAAGTATGTATGTATAACATTTGTGGATGTATAGATTAATGCTACTTTTTGTTATTTATCTATTAAATATAAATTTATTATATGGCCAGTAGGAGTCAATAAAAAAGACAGTGTTCAACAGCAGTCATTAATAATATTTGATTTAATTATTTTACGTTCAACCCACAAACATTATTGAAAGGTATCATAAAGTGTTGGATTTGTTTTTCGATATTTATTATAATTGTATTACAACAGATTTTCTCCTGAGAGTCAATAACATATTTGGCAAAGATTATTCAATTCCCTAACTTTCAATATTTCTCTTACGAATATAATTGTTTATGGGTATTCGAGTAGATTTGTTTCACGATGGAATTCCTACTTTCCTTAAGACGTTGAATAATTCCACACTTTAGTCTGCACTTAATATGTATTAGTCTCTCGGAAAGTGTTGTCGTTTTTGGTTGCACTTTATTTAACTTATGTTATTAGACTGGTACGCACGAACTTCTGGTTTTATTACCAGCACCTGGTATTATGTTGAACGTTATTAAGTTAATTATAATGTTCATTATTATATATTATTATAATAAAAAGTTTATTAGACAAAGTAGGATTAAATAGTCTTTACACGCGTTTTTCATTGGAGTACAAGTGTTACATTTATGTTAGATTCATTACATACATAATTATCGTACTAAATTTAAAGATGCCTCTTCAGATATTTTTAGCTGCCATCTTTCCACCGAGTCGTTGTCATCACTAAATATTCTTGTTTAGCAGTAGCTTACATGTACCTTTATAAAGTTTATTTATAAATTTGGCTTAAATGTCCATCTTTTAATGCCTGTGGAAGAAGTAACCGAAATAACTGAAAGATTGACTACCTTAGTTAACTTTAGTGTTTAACACAATTTATGGTATTGTTACGTTCCATATAGTATACTAAGCCGAGTACAGTACACTGTGTAATTGTTCAATAAAGAAAAGAACTACGTTAATAATTTTCATTCACAAATGTAACGTCAAATACACCAATTCGTAAAATCGCTCATTTCGCGTGCAACAAAACCCAATACTCATCTCCCATCGTGTTTACTTTCTTCTAATTACAATATAATCACCATCAATTAATAAGACCACGCTCCGCCTTCCGAATAGCTATCGAATATAATTAATTCCTATCGAATAAAAATCTTTCTCTAACATAAACATGTCTCGAATAAACAACAGAACTTTCCGATCGACCGAATAATTACAAAGTATATTTGACTCTATATAAGTAAATAATAAGAAAAAAAAACTTCTATCGCCAAGTAATGAAGCAACAGACAAATATTGGAGACACCGTCATCGACGCGACACGCGTTCGTCGTGAACGGTAGGCATTAAAACCGGCAGATTATGGAAAAGTTTTCGGCTGGTAGGAAATAGTAGTGGGTTTAACGAACGTGTACCTTATCTGGACAAATGATTTACACGAACAAACATCACCGCCCGCGAGGATCAAGGAGCCTCGACGCCACTTTAATAACGGCGGTAATCCGTCCGTGTATCCGTGTGTGGCACCTTGGCAGCGCCAGATACGACGGGCGACGACGACGGGAACACGATTGTTATCCACGCGGCCTGTCAGCCCGCTAAATGTTTCTCATCCCCGCCCGCGAATTTTACGGCCGAGGCACTTAATCACTCAAAAGTGTTAGGCAGCTGCCGAGACCCGGTTGACAGGAGCAATGAGATTTCAGAAATCGGTTAATAAACATGTAAACGCCGTTCCAAGCGAAAAAACGAAAAGGAAGGCAGAAACGGGCCAACCGGCTTATCTGATGACACCCAGGATTGTAATACCGAGGCCTGATTTACGCCTATTTATTGTTACTCAAATGACGCAGCGACAGAGTCAGCTGATCATCCAAAGGGGGTGGTAGTAAATCAATCGTGTTGGCGGGTGAGCTGATCAAATATATCTTCGAGTATGGACTCGAGACGTTGCAGACGAGACTTTTCCGTAATGCGGTGGCTCTTAATAGATTAGAAATCAGGGACGGTGCAACGATGAAAATTAATCGTAAGCTTGGGTTCGTTGTAAGCGGATCATAAAATGACACAATTTATTCAGTATTTATTGGCTGTGATTAGTACGTGCTACCAATTGTTTTGGATAACGTACCTTATATTATTCTGTGTAATTTATATTATGGACAGATAACGATGTCTTTGCTGGGTGCGATTTGATACCTCATAAGAAATATGTGCTGAGGTTATCTTCGTGTACTTACATTGTGTCTATGAGGAAGATAAGGTAGACAGCAACTTAACATGTGAATTAGTGGTGACTAGACTGCGGATGTTTATGCAAATTTTTATTCTTGTAGAGTATTTTATAGAAACCTCTTCTGAGGGGAAACTAATTTCATTTAATAAGTGGTTTATTAAATTAAAAATAATATAGTGACTTTATTGGTTCTTCTTCAAGTGTTCATTGTAGTTGTAGTATGTTTCCAATCATTACGTTTACTGCTAACGACTAGGTTGCGGATGTTTATGCAAGACATATATTTACGGATCACTAATTGAATAGACACTCCTTACTTTGTGAATACTTCATTCGGTAACTTTACTGATTCACTACTTAATTCTTACTTAACTTACTTTATTCAACAATTTGACTACTCGAAGAGGGTGTATTATCAGGCTGTATCATATTTCAGTTTTTAGTTTATTGTGTTTCGCAATGATCATAGAACTTCATTCTAAGTCGTTGCAGGTGCAAAATTGATTGATACAGAATAAATATATGTGCAGTCTTAATATTCGATTAAGAAAGTATATCTCAATACTGTTTTTACTTATATTATATTCACCATGAAAATATTGAACACTGGAACTCAAGAAATTATAAATAATACTTTAAATTTACTTTAAAAATTGTTACCAAACATCGATCAGAAAAATTACTCACAAAATTTGGTTTGACATTTTTATGATCCTTTTTGTTATGCACAAAATTAATCAATCAGAATTTTGTTTATCAAATCACAATTCCTTACTATTTTTCATTCTAGATGATAATAATTAAGAAATACTGATATCTCGACATGTTGTAGACAGTGAATGTTATCTTTGATTCGTATTTGCTCGAAATTCCGCAGCGCGCTTTAATACATATAGGTCTTTTTTCGTGTCATGTATCTTTAGAGCTGTAGATGAATAAAATAACACGATGGTTGTGTAAAAAGAGTACAATTTAGAGTTCTCGGTAAATCCCATTAATCGCGAAGCGTTACTTTTTTTTTAGGACGGAATTCTGTTTTCGAATCTAAAGCTGATGGTTCTACCGAGGTACACATTAATCTTCTTCATTTAACACTTTTGTAGAAAATATGTTATTTGTTCTTCCTCGACAGCCACTGTAAATGAGTCTAGATATCGTACCTGGCGATAAACGAATTCCATGAATTTTAAACACCATTTCAAGTGAATTAATTACTATCAATACTATTAGACAATGAGAAGCCAACGTCTGTGCAATTGTCTATCATCTAGAGACACTGTTACACTTTTCCAAATATTAAAAAATATTATTATTTTTTTACTTGAAAACCCTATGGATAGTGGCTGTATACTAAAAACTCAGAAGTTTAAAATCAAAAGTTTTTGTAAGAGGTGACTTCAGAAGGAGTACTATAAACTGGGGGATTAACTATATGCATTCACCGAGACCAACATTCAAATTAAAGATCGACTTCCCTAGAGCTAAAGCTGTTATAAGTAATTGTACCAAACATCTTTGCTCCACTTCTTCCTGTAGGAGCCATCACATTGGATTGTACAATACTACCAAATACACATCACCATGTACCTATATATTGCACAGACAAAGTATTCTTCTGATCTTATAAATCATGGCTGCAGACGACACTGTCAACGATTTCATCAATTACTGGTCTTCAGAATGAGGACCATGATCTGGGGGATTAACTATATGCATTGATCCTCGGCCAATATTTAAGCATCATCACTTTACGAATTATCCAATGTCAATCTTGAGAAAAAGGATTTGATAGGGGGGATTAACTATGTGCATTCATCGAGGCTAATATTCAAACTAAAGATCAACTTCCGAAAAAGTTAACGCTCTTATAAGCAACTGTAACGAACATTTTTGTCCCACTTCTCCCTGTAGTAATCATCACATATTGGATTGTATTATCAAATGCACAGCACTACAGGTATACCTACCTATATCTTGCACAGACAAAGTATTATTTTCATCTTATAAATCAAGCCTGAAGATCACACTGTCAACGATTTCATCAAATACTGGTCTTTCGGAAGATGACTGTGATTTGGGGGATTAACTGTATGTATCCACCGAGTCTTACGAAATCGGCCGGTTACCGCCGTTAGCTACCCATGAACGCACGGTTTTCGCCGAATGATCGACAGATTAAGTCACATGTACTCGGGCCGGCGGTTCTCTATCACAGCCCGCCCGCCATTAGCCAACGGGCCGAAACTCGAGCAGGAAACGTCTGTCAGGGAAAATTGGTAATCATAGACCACCGCGAGCGGCATTAAAGTTCGGGGATGGGCAAGTACAGCAGGATCTTCAAAGAGAGTGCACTTAGATAATGCTCGCCCGTAGAGGGGGGTGGGACACCTCTCCTCACCCGTTCACCCTTCTCCTTCTTCCGATATCGAGGGGGCTTTTGATGAAGGCTACGAATTTGGTAGAGTAAAGGGTAATCCTATCATACGCTATGAGATCTTCATTGCCGTCGAAAGGGCATGCTCGTGCTGGCCCCGCATGGAAATCATGCGATGCTGTTTCAATCTCTCAGAGAAATGGAATCAAGCGGATCCATCTTACGGATGATCGTCTTGTAAAAGTGGTTATAAAGAATTTCGACTGATTCTGAAAATTACGGTACGAATGGCTGACGAAACGTGATACGGTGTAGAACGTTTTAATTGTCATTATGACGTCAACTGTTGTTCTACTGTCTGAAAACGCGTGTACACTAGCGTTCATAAATATTGGGACGCTTGTTAACCCCCCGTTGTCATACTGGGTCAAATTGACCCAAGAACTTGACTTTCAAGTAAAATATCTTGCGGCATCATTTAAAATGGTACTACTGGCACCATGTAGTAATTTCAGGTATCCTAAAAAAACTATTTCCTAAGAATTTATTTAAACTTGATGAAACTTCAAATGTTAATTTTTAACCATGAAAATATAATCTATAAGTTTTTACGATTTACTTTAGTAAACAGTTTTAAAATAACAGCTGATTGCCTCGGGTCAAATTGACCCAGTGTGGAAACTATGTCTGAAAAAGGAGGTGTGACAACGGACGATTAAATATGAAGTAAACATATGATGAGATTATGAAATTAGAGAAGGTAAGTCGTAAAAGTGGGCCAGAATATAGAGGGTGATGAAAAAGAGGTTTCACAACTTTAAGGGTAGTTAGTACTTGTCGAACGAAAAGAAAATGGCCTATTAAACATAGATCGAAAAATTAATATTTTCAAAGTTATAGACAATTTTTCATTTCGGTTAAAGCGAGTGGCTTGCTCGTCTCGGGAGCTCGAGCAGGGCAAGAAATAGTACACTGCACGACCGAGTACTGTTCTCTGATATGAAGGTGTCAAGAATGTGTAGAAATGGGAGCAGTACGTGCATAAAATCTTCTCTAATCACAGAAAAAAGAAATGGTAAGATAATCCATTGTTTTTATGCAGCACACGATAGCTCCCGAAGCGAACAAACCATTCGATTTAACCAAAATGAAGATTTGTTTATAGGTTTGAAAATATTAATTTTTCGGCTTATGTTTTATTAGAACTTTCTTCCTTTAACTCCATTATTTGGTCATTAAAATCTACATTTAAAGCTCCGAACACTTTTCTTACCACCCTGTATAATTTGTATGAAATATTAAACTTTCTTCAAAAACGGCAGTATACATACATATGTATGTAACTTTCTATTTTATATAAATGATGAAAATGGCTGAAAGCAGCAGATGATAACCTACTGGAGCAATTTGATTAGAATCTTCAAGCTAAGAAAAGACTCATTATACATTCAAAGTTGAAAGATTTGGTGGATTTTTAGTATTATAGAACACATTTTTGTTGTTATCACACACTTTTGGCAGAATGATATCGCAAACTATAAAAACAGAATATCTTGAGTCGCATTTAATGATTTTAAAAACTATCGTTCGCACCGACATATCGTCAAGTATCATTTATAAAGTTTTCAATATACAATAAAAATACTATAGTATTATGTATATTATAAATCATTAAAACTACTTTTTTTCATTGTGTACAAATAATTTTATATGTTGAAAATATAATGCTTCAATTTTTAACTTAAAATAAATTTGCAGTATCTTCTTATTATTTCGTAATTGATTGAATGCTTGTCTAGATGTCAGTTGAAGAGAATTAAATCAATAATCTCAAACGACATAGACGTGAATCTTCGTTGAAACGGTGTATTTAAAAAAAAAAACCTGTCGCATCACTGTTAACAAAGGCGGTTTGAGTATCCGAGAACATCTTTAGCTCTAGAGAGCTGGGCTGGAAATGTCATCGAGGTGACTCGAAACCAAGAAAACATTTATTTAAGACGAAGATCAGCGACTTGCCGAGCAAGAGTCTGGCAAAGATTACCGCAGTGGTTTTCGTAGGAGGAATAAGTGCGCGGACCGGAGGAATTCTTAATGAGATTAGGTGGCCCGACGACAAACACTCTCTGGTTAGATTTACATTTTATACATTTTTAAGCGGCCTTAGGAGCGGAACTACTCGTCGCTCCTTGATCCCGAATCGTCCTTAAACTTCTCGCTCTAACGTAGTTACTCAATCTTTATCTCCGTTTTAAGCACCGATTACTCTTGAATGTCGGATCTCCGCTTTACTGAATTAACTCGTAATCTTACGAAAACAAGCGATTCACTTATTACCTTAACAATATATCTGTTGTAAAGTTTTCTGTTTCTAAAGCTTCAATGTTTACTGAAAACTATATTTGTTTTATGTATAAAACATTTATACAAAGAACATTTACGTTAAAATAATTGTATAGATAATCTTTTCTTTCTCTTTCTATACTTTTATTGCTATATATTAATTTCTTGGGTGACGCGAGAATGTTTACATTTATGCATAACTGATAGGATTCTTTCTCATGTTAACTTAAATTAATTGTCGTATTTGTGAATTCAATTAATGCAAAGAAAATATTCCGTTGATGTGAACATTTCTTAATATTTAAATTTTTCGTACTCACGATTACTGAATGTTTGAAAAATTGAATAAGAATCCTTTCACACGTACTGAATATGGCACGATCACCATTTAACCCCATCACACTCCACGTGCATAATTACGCATATGTATTTTATATATGTATTTTTTAAGAGTACTTACAATCTATTTTCTTTTACTTGTTGTTGGTTTTTTAATTCTGGCAACATTTGTGAACATAACCTGAAATTGGCGTAGCTGTGTGTTTATCGGCTCCTGGGTTATTTAATAATTAAGTCACCATAGTGGTGCCATTAGCGGGAAGACAAGGTATTACAAAGCACAAGAATTGTTCTGTGTTATATCATTGCAAATAATTTGTAAGTTCCCAATACAATGTCTCAATAAATAAAACTTATATAAAGAAACAGACAATGGTAACTAATACCCTTGTATAATTACATTCATCTGTGGCGCTTGAGAGGATTTGTGCATAATTATACTACTTTTTTCGTACAAATAAAACAACAAAGTTATAAAAATTATGTCAATCTTATTTGAACCTAAATAGAGTAAAATATGCAAGAACAGATTTTTTCCTCTCCTTTCGAATTAATTCGACACTGAAGGGGTTGAAGTGTTACTTATAGACTGAGGATGTTCATGTATTTATGGCACAAACAAGGATGAACAGTACAATGAAATGAAACTTTCAAAAAAAGTAACCAAATTTCGTAATACTGTGTGTTTGTAGAAATTAATTTTTCCGTGACTCTGATTTCTGTAAAATAGCTCATGAAAGAGAATATTTCTACAAACGCACGAAGTTTAGCTATACGTTACGAAAAAAACAAAAGATTCATCAGAAAACTTACCTCATCCAGAGGACAACCAGCAGAAACTAGAAGCGCGTGACTATGGAGTAACAGGAGTCTTAACAACTTATTTCTAACTTCTGCAGCGGGACTGGGAGGAGGTGGTCTCGATCTATACACTTGAATCTTTAATGTCGCGACCGACGTCAGTTCAGCTAGGATATCACCAACTGTTAACAGCGGACCATCCGCGACTTTTTCCATTGGCAGTGGTTTCCAGTTCCTTATGACAATGCTTCCCCTAGCGCTTGATATCAGGTCACTGGAGTAACCGAGACGCACCAATGCCTCGCCGACTAAATCCTGTAAAACAAAAAGATTGTTGCTTAACAATGGGACCCATTCTGTATAAAGAATTTAGAGGTTTAATTACTTTCGACAAATGGGTTCATCCTTTATTAACACTTTGACTGCCACGTCATCCATACATGTATAGGTGAAACATACATACATTGCAAAGAGGCTGACTATTTAAAAATCGTTATAAAATTTAGCGTAAAATTAATATCGTAGTATAATCTAAAACAAGACCAATATCCTCTATTAACTAAACGCATAAATTTTCGACAATTTATGATATAGAAAACGAAATAAAGCGTGTCTGGCTACGTACGGCCTTTTGTCACTGTGGCAGTGAACGTGTTAAGGGATTGTGACAGAGGGATGTTCTGGAAATTGTTCGTTTTGTGTTATGTATTAAATGTTTAAGTGCACAGTACTTTCGCAAGCGAAAAAATGAAGACTTGAAATAATAAAATTTGAATAAGGGAGGAAATATGAAGGTTTCTTCTAATTATAGTGTACTGTCATACTCTGTATTTGGTAACTACCCTACTGATAGAACGTAGTTTTGTGACTGTAGTTAATGGTAATAATAATATGTACAAGTATATATTTCTATTATCCTCTGAAGACAAGAAAGGTTTAATAATAAACCTTATCTTAACACTTGATTAGTTTATCATTACAAAGTATTACTACTTTTATTTTTAAATTGTCTACGTCTACATTATTGAAGAAAGTTATAATTCTTATTCAAACAAAAGTTTCCGTCTGCAAATATTCATTTTCATAATCAATACGTAAATATATGATACCATTATAGACACCATTGATCATTAAAACTATAGAAAAGTAAAACTGATTTCTTATGTATAGCATCTTATACATATATTCTATGTATATGGAAAACATTACAAATTCTTCTCGTTAGATTTTGTTCCTAAGATTCTTTACGAGTTCTTATATGTGTTTAAAGCGAGTACTTTTATAATATACATCTTATAATACTTTTCAATGGAATCCAATAAATTAATTACTCATCAATTAAAAATTGGTACTGATTATTAACATTTAATAATATACGTCCTCATTTTCGTATCTATGAATAATGACTGCTAGTTTGTATTAATAAACTACATGTCATAAGTAAACTTTTTTGTTTACGTAGAAATAAAATATCTTTACCTGGAAAGGCATGGCCACAGGGATGATCACATACGAGTCCGTTTCTACTTGAGGCCTTCGCCAGTTCTCACGGGAGTTGCTCACATGACTCTCGACGATATTGTGAATCGTCTCTACCACACAATGCACTGGGAGATTCTTTCCTGTAACAAACGTTGTATATACAAATCGTATGCTCCAAAATTTAATTTTTTATGTTAAACGTTTAAAACTTTTTGATCAATGAGTGTTAATTATATATTCTAAGATTAATGTTTGTACAAGAGATTACACTTTTTTACTTTACATGTGGTTTAGAAATGAATATAGTGTTAGAAATGAACAACAGTTGAATTGACAACAGCAATGTAGTTCAATTTATTAATACTTGGTGCACATTCCTGGTGATTTATATCATGGACCTAGGTAAATTATGAGTACATGCAAATATTATTTTAAGATAAATAGATCTTATGAAATTTTCGTACGTTTCTTCTTTTTGCAGAATTTAATATTGCTTTTAAGTTTTCCTTATCAAAAGAGACTATAACTTATTATTAAAATATAAAATAATATACAAAGGAGACTCTTTTACTTCTTCTTTTACATACACAAAGTTTAGCGTATTTCTGAAAAATTGCTATGTACCGTAAGAAGTAATTATCAAACACAAAGAAGAGGTTCATACATCGTTCAACCCTTACAAAGTTTGTATTAAGTGAAAGTCACTGGAAACTAGATATCAGTAATAAGTTTCTTCACCGATGATATAATCCATAATGATACATATAGTGTAAGATTCATTTATTGTATGACTTTAGTTGACACGTACCTAGAATTAGATGCACGACGAAACGTAACAATTTCTTTAAAAACTTTATTTCTTTGGCATCTGCGAATAGCTATCATATAATAACTCTTATAATAATGTATTACAATAACATTCTTATGTAACACATTTTTTTCTAATATTGCGACATATAATAAAAAGTAAATATCCGTAATATCTATGATTCATTTAACATTCAATATGGATAAATAAATAGTTTTAATCGAATATACGTTAATTCCACGCCACGACGAAGATTGTATAAAAAAATAAGAAATCAAACTGATGAAAACACAATTACTAAACGAAATGTAAGGATGAACTTCAGTTTCTTATAACTACACTACGGGTGTTTATGCAAATACTGATGTTTGTTGACTAATTTATAAAAATTGGAGTCAAATAGAAGTTTGTTTGCTTCATTAAGCTTCCTATAAGATTCGGCAGAAAATAAAAACCTCGGTAAATTCGATTAGAAACTTAAACGAGATGTTTGCAGAGTAATATATCAATTGTTTATGACACCAATCTAAGAATTTTGCCATGCTTGGTTGATGCCACTTTCATACTTTAAGGGAAACCCACCCTTTCTACCTGAAATGTCCCTTTCACTTATCCGCCTGTAACTCCTTAAGTACAAGAGATATCAGAAAAAAGTTTAAATAAATTTTATATCGTTTTTAGTTGTCCATATATCGGTAGGAAAGTATTTGCAAAAAAATTATATTCAAAAGAAAAATTTTTTAAAATGATCTCTTTTGAATTTTTTTTCCTACCGATATATAATTTATATATAAATTAAGCGACAACTAAAAACAATATAAAATTTATTAAAATTTTTTTTCAATATCTTTTGTCGTTTACAAGTTAGAAGCATGTACACAAAAGGGACGTTTCGGATAAAAGGGTGGTTTCCCTCTTAAACTCTAAAGACCCAGAAACAATTAAGTAAAGGTACAGAAAAATCAGCGGGTATCACTTCGCAAACATCCCTTGTTAGATTGACACAATCGTGTGGGTACGCGATAAATGCCTAAAATCGGCAATCTACTCATAACGTTTGACGTTCCAGTCACGAAAACCATTTCCTGCAACGGGTATTCGATCAAAGATCAATAAAACACAAGCAAAAAGAAACAGAACGCCTCAACACCGGTATACAACTCGTAGAACCCGTGCCCGAAGAATCAAGCCAGTTCCGGCTTTGTGGATCCGACTGACAATGGGCCGTGGCGCTTCGCGCTTTCGCATTTCAGGATTTGAATTCGAGGGTCCAGATGATTCGTGGAGGCTGAAGATCGTCGAGAGAAGTCTAACTCCCGTGCTAAGCATATGCAGATCCACTCGTCTATCCCCGAGACAATAAGAGCCGGGCGATGGCACAATAGCTGCGATCCTTGTGTAACCCTGACTTAAGTCCCGCAGCCTATCCCACTCCAGGCCATAATCCCAGACTTCTGCGAAACCGAGGAATTGGAGGAACGGGGTGGGTAGCCAGGAAAGAAGACGTAGGAGGAGGGTAAACTTGCTTTCATCGATTCAATTCGGCGTACCGGCGGAAATACTTATTAGCCGAAAACCTCGGTTCTCGTAATGGAAAACAAAACGGTATCAGCCGGTTCGAAGCTCTTCGCGACCTACGCTTGGGGTATTTAACTTGGGAACGCGTGTCTAGCGCAGCTTAAAATCCGTGACTGCTTGCGTAATTCGTTGGGCATGAAAGACTGTGAAGTCAAAGCGGGACGAGATACAAATACAATACCGGTCAAATGAATGGGACTGGAGTTCATGATTGATGGAACAATAACTCATTATTCTGTTGCAATATAATAAAAGTTACGGAATCAGTACATATACAAATTATTTAGAATTAGTTTTAGCATATTACTTTTATCAAATCTTTGCAGAATAATATTTTTCTCTTTCTTTAATTATCTGACCTGGTCCCATACTTTTGGACAGTAGTTACATTGTAATAGACACGGATAAGAAGACAAAGAGAAGAAATTATCTGTGTAAAGATTCGGATTAAATTCACGAAAGTAAGAGTATTTACAAATGTAGTACAGCGAATCCTCGATAAGTGTTCGAAGGCTTCTCGGCACTGACAAAGAGGGATCCCCAAGTATAACGCTGAGTTTTTAATGAGGTTTGGCACAGTGATAGAGCTTGCAATTCTCAAGCCAATGCTATTTGTTTCAGCCGCATGGGGCCATTAGTTTATGAAATATATAATATTCAGTGCCGAGTAACCTTCGAACATTAATTGCGGATTTACTGTCGTAATTTTCAAGCGTAGTCGAGTACAGCTTTACCTGCAGCAGAATTCAAAATTCCTAAGATCACCCTCTTTTTTTTATTGCAGAATTTTCATTCTAAAAGTTTCAATAGTAGGTACTCATTTACCATAGGGCTCCGAACGTAAATATTTTCTTCCACTTACAAAAAAATACTCAGACGAATTAACACAATACTTGAAAGTTAATTCCATTTCTAAACTGAATCGGTTTCAATTTCTCTAGAAATTAATTTTGCACGCTGAGATTACTTTTAGACTCTGCCACATGCATGTGTCAGACCGGGGTTTATACGTTATATCATAAACTGTTAAAGGACGGTTATCGATGCTCGGTTGATGTAAGGTGCTAAGTCTCCCGGCAAGATGACCAACAAAGGATTTACTGCCGGGCAGCACAATATTAGGTATTAATGCCCTAAACTTCCATCTAATACGCTGTTCACCATAGGATCTACCCCCATGGTTGCATAAGACAGGTCGGGTCAGTGCCTAGGAAGGACCGGAGAAGCTGACCAGCGTCCACCTTAATCCAGAGACGTATAGTTTTCATTAAGGTGGCCCGTTCTGGCAGCGTCTCTGTACCGGGATCAGCTGGTCCAAGGTAGGCTTTTACTCCGCAGATTTGGCCACAGGAGACCGTATTATGCGGTCTGTTTATTAGCGAGCTACCCTGATGCGCAAAGATCCCTCCTGGTAGCCCGACGTCATACTTTTCTGCCTCTTTTACTCGTTGATAATTCTCGGTATTACATGATTGCGTTGATCATGATAAAGATATGTATTTCGGTAGCGATCTTAAAATTGGGCTGTGTTTTGCGACATCTGGATTCGTTCTTTTCCTTATCTCGATTGTTACGACCGGTAATAGACGGATTAGATGACGCGCTGATGTTTCAACAAGAACTGGATTTCAGGCGAAGTAGAGGATTTACATATTGTTTGCTTAAGTAGAGCGTAATTTGTGGATAATATATTAGGGGTACCGACAGGTAATCTGGTATATTTTCGCGAATTCAATAGTTATTTTGGAGAAAATTAAGAGCCTATGCCATTTCAGTGATGTTTGTCCTCGTTCCTGTGTTCGCCACCATTTTGAAGAGACAGGTAGAAAAGCGTTTGAAATTTAAACTGTGTTGGCAGTTTATTAAATAGATATGGTGAATTATCTATAGGTACACCTAATAATAGTCCATATGAATATTGTAAAGGTGATTTTTTCCATTTTTACAGACTCGATGTTATTGATGTGATTATTACATATTGGCTTTTGCAACAGATAAGTTTGACGCTTCTTTCCTTTTAATTATAATTCATATTTGTAATGCCATATGTTTAATATTATGTACATTTTAATTTTTACTGTTCAGGCACTCTTCTGTTATTTCGAGAAGACAAATTAATCATTACTAATGATAAGCGACAGTATAGTACATGTTATCATAAAACATTATTGTTTTAATTGGAGCAGATACCACCCAAGAAGGTACAGCCTTAAATCCGATAGAAATTTGTCTATTATATTCAGTACAATATAATGTATTATTAATCGTTTTTTCAAGTGTACCTCTTTTCACAAAGTAATCATTTGTGGAACTAGTGCCTGAGTTTTATAACATTTATAAGTGATTGTGACAATACGTTAATATTACGTTAGTGCCAAAGTTTTGATGAATTTTCTGCGGATGATGCGATTTCCACGGTTCTGTGGAAACAACAAATAATTATGTCAATATAATTACGTGTCGATGTCAATGGAACACAGTGAGATGTTGTTCAGAACACAATTTGCGGCGGTTGAGTATGTTTTATTGTTCAAAATAATATTGAAATTGAGCTACTAAAAAAATTAAGAAATGAAAGGAGTAAACGTTACAAAAACACCGCAAAAAACATTTCTGATCTTATTGGGGAAGCTATTATATATATAT